TTGAGGAAACCAAAGCTCAGGGATATAAGTAACTTCTCCATAGCTAGAAAGTGATAGAGGTATGTCTATTTAATTCAAGAGCTCCAACCTTTAACCATTATATTCTGTCTGCTGTCCATTCAGAACCTACACCAGATCATTACCAAAGGTTGATGTCAGCAGAAAAGTTAAAATTTTTCTTTGGAATAAAATAAGGCTGTGCTCCAACTCTCATTTTTTTAACAAGTGAATTAATGATACGTCCTAAACTGAGTAAGATGTTCTTGCTAAAGAAAACAGAAAAACAAATATTCTTTTAAAAACTAGTATGTCTTACTATCTTAAACTAGAAATGGCTTTAGCAGACAACTGGAATAGTTCATTATTATCAGAAAAGATCACAGACCAACTATTCATAATCCTCAGCTTTGTTTCTACATCTAACAATCTCATAAAATAAATTATCGTATGTAGTTACCTTGCTGTATTTACCACAGATGATTTATCTTGAAAGGCATGTGAGAAAAGAGCATTGCTCAAAACTGGGGGCACTGCTCAAAATTTCAAGGGAAATTTTGCTTAAATTGGATATTTGCTTAGCCCACCATATTTAGCTAGGAATCCTTATAATGTTCCTGGAGTACTTACCCTACCACAGATCAACCTTCATTTTTCATTTTTCTTTTGCTTCTACTTTTAAGATCAACTGTTACTTCAAAATATGTTCTCATTCCAATTTGCAATACAAAATATCTGCATTCTGATACTTCATAGGTAGTATAACTTTGAACTCATTGCTATGTGCCACTATTAAAAACTAAGCTGAAGCCAGGTACAGTGTCTCATGCCTATAATCCTAGACCTTTGGGAGGCCGAGGTGGAAGAATCACTTAAGCGCGAGTTCAAGAGCAGCCCAGGCAACATGGCAAAACCCTGTCTCAACAAAAAATACAAAAAGTAGCTGGGTGTGGTGGCACATGCCTGTGATCCCAGCTACTCAGAAGGCTGAGGTGGGAGGATTGCTTGAGCCCAGGAGGTCAAGGCTGTAGTGAGCCATGATTGTGCCACTGAACTCCAGCCTGGGCAACAGAGCAAGACTCTGTCTCCCAAAATAAATAAATTAATTAAATTAAAATAAAAACTGAGTTGAGACATATAATATTTAGAGAGAACTGCTCAAAAGGCACATAGGGTATCGTTTCCAGGTATTCTAAAATCTAGCTCTTGGTCAAGTTACAGCAACAGAGCTTGGGTACCTGAATCACACTATAATGACTACTTAAGAACTGTTTTTACTGAATAGTACTTTGGTATGTTAACAACAGGCCACACTGAACACTAGTAAAAGAAAATCCCAAGAAATCACAGCTACCAAGACATTGTCTAGGAAACTGTAACAGCATCCAAGAAAATCTATTTTAAGGAACAAGTATATTTTATCTTATGAACCCTGTCACCTACTGTCAATGACAACAGAGCTCAGAGCCAACTCACAGCCTAAACATACATAAGTACCAAATTCCCATTGCTATGCTTTCCCTCACTTGATTTTATATCTATCCTGTTTTTTCTTCATTTTTCTTTTCCTTCTACTTTAATTTCTGTTTTACTGTTTTGTGATAACATATATGTATTATATAAAGTGTTTTAAATCCTTTTTAGAACAATGCAGGGAAACACTGAAATAAAAAGATCCTTCGAGAAAGTTTCCTGGGGTCCTTTAAGGATCCTTTGGAGGATCCAGATCCATTTAACACTCTGGATAGAATTGTATGTATCTAATCATTAAAGGTTCAGGGTGAAGTAAAGCCAAACGCTTTTATCCATAAGGAATTTAATTACTAAGACCAGGAGCTGGCAAATTTTTTAGTAAGGCATCTACTGCTATGTGGTAAGGCTGATGTTTCTAAGAGGCATGTAAGAGGTACTTGATTAAAAGATTGTTACTGAAACTGCAACCACTCAGTAAATTTTACCTGGTATACACTTCCTTTCTGATACAAGAAACTTTTCGAAGACAAATCTGACTCAGTGATTAAAAGATGATTAACAAGAAATGCATTGTTAACTTTTGTTTATGAACTACCATGGCAAGTTGCTCCTTACTTAGGGAGGAAAAAGGAGAGGAAAGGATAATTTTGACCAAGTACATGACATCTCCAGGACTTGAAAAGGGCTCAAATAAAAAATGGAAGAAAAATCTTTCCCTAGGGATAGATACTGAATACTTAGTGGAGCTAGGAAGCTGGGAATTAGCTAAGAGTTTACTAACAGTGGCAGAGGTACAACAGGTATCTTTTCAAAAAAAAATTTTTAATATATTAATAAAGCAGTGGTTGTTAATATCATAAGTTATTGGAGGAAGAGGGTTAAAAGCAAGAATATCAGCCTTGTAAAAAGATTAATCAAAGAGTTGTCCTGCTAGGCTTGTGCCCATTGGTACTAAAACTCTGATCATGTTTCTGCTTACTAGAGATCCTGGAACTCAAAATGACAGTAAAGGAAGGAGTCCAGATGACCAACATGCAGAAATTCATTATCCTGATAATTGATGAGAAAAGGGTGCCCCCAAGAAAGCCTTGAATTATAGAAAGGAAGAAAATCACAATCCCATCTGAAACCCAGGCGACTAAGTTTTTCTCCCAGTCTTACGAAAATTCCAGCACTGTAATGGTGCCTACTGTCTGCAAAAAAGGAAACACCAAAGAATATCCTGAGAGACCAATATAAGTAGGAGGAAGGACACAAGCTTTTCCCAAGTAGGCTGTAACAAGGAGAGGGATAAAAAGCCTTCCCACGACAGGACAATGCAAGAGTCACTGTGTATTTCTCAACTTCAGCGCTACTGACATTTATCGTCAGATAATTCTTTGTTGTGGGAGGCTGTCTTGTGTGCTGTAGGATGCTTAGCAATATCCGTGGCCTCTATGCCTTACATGGCAATAGCATCACTATAAATTGTGACAACCAAAAAAATGTCTGGAGACATTATCAAATGTCTACAGGAGAACAAAATCTCCCCTATGCTACGGATACAACAAATAACAAAATAGCTTCCAGTGTTAACTCACTCCTTTGGTAAATAACACTCCCAAACCACCTCACCTCCTTAGCCAGGTAACAGGGACACAGAACAGAAGAATCTGTAGGAAAAACAGCAAGTTCAATTTTGGGTATGTCAAGATATAAGATAGCAAATGGAGATGTCCAAAGATAGTTGGATATATGAGACTGGAAACAAGAAAAGAGGGCTTGGCTAGAGAAACAGACCAGAAAACCATTAGCTACATTAGCTGGGAAAAAGCCTCTGAGAAAGGCTTTTTTGAATCTTCAGCCAAATTAAAATCTCTCAATAGATGAAGATTACTACCCTACACAAGCTCTACCTAGTACTTAATTAAACAAGAAGCCCTTGATGGATTTAGTCTACTGCAGGGTAATGTAGTACTCATGCACGATTTTTACCCTCATCTGGACAAACTTGCCATATGTTAACGTCTCCAGGGTAAAGTCTCACATATCCTTACTAATTGATACGTTGCAATAATTTTCCCATTTGACATATGCTCCCTCTTTTGACTCTGTTCTCAAGTCCATTGTTCCATAGTCTTATCTGTTCTGAACAGATATTTGTTCTCTACCGCCACAGATACATAATTAGTAAAAGCAGATGCAATTCTCAACATTAAGAGTTACATGCAGTGAGTTTTCCAACACTATCATTAAAGAAATTCTACACTAGGAGGCTCAAAGACTCCAAATGAATTATTTTTCTTTAACAGAAACCTCTCTAACAGTTTGAATACACCTCAGTTCAGAAGCTCATTTTTCTGAATGTCTGTTTTTGATTGAGAAAATTTACTTAAATGTAATTTTCCAAGAAATTAGAAGACACATTTCTACATATGCATAAGCTCACACATTAAAAACATATTCAAAATGTTTTATGAAGAGTTGTATTTCATATAAAAACAGTAGCAAAGAAATAATTTTCCTAACGTAAGACATATACTATAGTTAACAAAATGTAGACAAAACAAAATAAATCTGAAAAAGTAAACAGGGATATTATGCATATCTTATGTTTAATTTAAATTTATTCCTTGTGCAAAATCTTCTCCCACTGTGTGTTCTTTTTTTTCAGCTAGCCTAAAAACTTTTTTTAAGTAAGTTTAATTTTGTTCTAGAATAGTCCTTCAAAATATCACCCAATTCACAGAATGTTCACTCAGCTCATCTCCATAGTTATACTATACCAACAGACTGGTGTACATTCAGTAAAGACCGGTATAAAGAATGGTAACATTTCTTGGGAGGCCGAGGTGGGCAGATCACGAGGTCAAGAGATCAAGACCATCCTGGCCAACATGGTGAAACCCCGTCTCCACTAAAAAAAAATACAAAAATTAGCTGGACATGTGGCGCGCACCTGTAGTCCCAGCTACTCGGGAGGCTGAGGCACGAAAATTGCTTGAATCCGGGAGGCAGAGGCTGCAGTGAGCCGAGCTCGTGCCACTGCACTCCAGCCTGGCGCCTGGCAACAGAGCAAGACTCTGCCTCAAAAAAAAAAAAAAAAAAAAAAAAAAAGAATGGTAACATTTTCTTCTAGAGATGATAAAGTATTACACAGAGAATATAACGCCACATATACTCCAAAGGGAAAAATTAAGCTTAGCATTTTCTGACCACAAAATAACTACTGAATAAGCAGATTTTTAGGATCTAGTTTGGCTTATACAATCTTTATTAAATATAAAAGGATATCATAAAATTAAAGTATCAGTAAACATCTGCTTTTCTTTATACATTCCTTAGGCTAAGCTTATAAAATCAGATATGATTTTTACTGAAGGGAATTACTAGCCATCTCCCTAATAACCCCATCTTTTCCTTACATAAGAAAATGCAAATTATGCTAATTTCTGTTTGCCAATGAATCTTTTCACATAAAATTACAACACAGCTAGAGAAGTAAAAGAAGGAAAAGTAGTGAAGTGTGTTTAAAAGTTATTCTTTCTTACCAATATGTTGACGCAGAATCCAGGAGGATCTTGAGGCACGAGAAGAAAGCATGTTTTCAACAGCTGGTGGAAGTCTCTTCCAATTAGTAAACTCCAAAGTGAAGATAAGGGCGTCAGTGCTGACCGAGTCAATCCTATGTTGGCAAGATGTTAAAATGACATTAGAAACAAAACATGCCAATGGTTCATACTGGAAACAAACACCATTCTTACAAAATCTCAATGAGGAAGGCAGACAGAGAACCAGGGCATGGAAAGTATTTATGTAACTGGAGACAAGATCAGTGGATGTGAAGAATCATCTACAGGTTCCTATCAATGGAATTGACTTTGTGTGTAGCTGTCTAAGATGACAAGAGGAAACTCAGAGAGAGTAGGAACTTTCCTTCCCATTGGTGACAGCATCAGTGATATCAGTGGACGTGCTATTATTTCCTCCCATTTGGACTACCTTGCCAAATGTAAATTGATCATCCTTACAGACATATAATTTAATAATCCTAAAAGGATAAAGCCCAAACACCCCAAGTTATCACTATACTGAGTGTACAAGTGTACAGGAATGGCTTCTTTCTGCCCAACTCCCACGGATGCATAGCTGTTCTCCTCTAAGAACTTTCCCCCAATTATAAATTCAGCCCTAAATGATATAACAGATTAAGATTTGTCTTTAAGAACTGAAAGAAGGGGTTCCAAACAGGCCTTCCTCTGTTCTTTCAAAATAATGCCAGATTCCCTACCAATCCACTCAAAAGAGACTAACTCAGAATTTATAAGCACTTGAAACCTAATGGAAAGAGCACAGGCTTAAGAAAAGTCTTGATGTTTAATACTGCCTCTGCTACTTATAAACAAGTTGCCCGACTTCTTTAAGCGCTAGCTCCTGCTCTTTAAAATGAGAATACATAATCTGCTCATTTCAGAGAACTGTATGTGAAAATAATATGAGAAAACATAGTAAACATACTTTTAAAACTATAAAGTTATATGAAAAATTAGTATTACTAGAAATGATTTGAAACTTCAGTATATTTTTAGAAGCTTTAAAATTTAGTCAAACTTTAAAAAGAACCGAAATCCTAACAAGATTACTCATCCTGTACTCAATTAGACACTCCCCTACCATCACAATGGTTGGAGAAAAAAAAATCACTAGGGTTCCTTCTCAAGATCACCTTTTTAGAGATATTACTGAGCAACAACTAAAGAAAGAAAGGAAACCCGAGGAAAGAAAATAAGCTGAATAATAATCTAAGCTTATCATCTCAAAGACACTTCTGGTAATTCGAAGTCAAAGTATCTTTGAAATGATGAACTAAAGATTATGAAAATTATTTCCCAAATTAATTCTCCAATATGCAAACATATAAGGAAGAACTTAGAGTGTAGCACAGATATTTTAGAAAAACATTTTGTTTCTCAGCAGGTCTCAGTGAAATCACAACTTATCAGGAAATACTGAGGATAAATGAAATGATAAAATATATTCAAAGACAAACAATTTCCTTGACTTTCTAGGGGTCCCAAACCAAAGGTTACTTGGTTCTGGTTCTTTATTCTTTTTTAATGATTTCATTTTCTGCCTTAATGCGCTTTAGGTCTTACTGTGACCAAACACAAAGTCATTTTTATGCAGTTATCTGAACATACACATGACAACTAAATCTGTTTGAACAGTTTTAGTTAATATAATGGTGAGTTTATTTCACCAGCCACTGATAATGTCACTAAAAATGTATCATTACTTTACTACAGTGACCATTACATTGTATAGAGCAGTTGTACAATCATAAACAAGTGACATTTAATCAACTAAATGCACAAATGACATTTACGTTCTATTCTCCCATTACATGGCGGTGGGGTGCACAGGCAGGAGAAGACTTAGTCTTGCATTTAAATATTGTGACAGGCAATTATTCAGCCAGATACATTTTTAAGACTGTTTAAGACAAACAATACCCAGAAAATATGTTTATAATTTACATGACAAAGATTAAGCAATAGACCTACCTGTGATATAAATAACAATCAAAATCTACTTTAACAACTATTGAAATTTTTATAGGAAAATGTTTCTTAAACTAGCTCTTTGAATGTAAATTTGATCAAAGAAAGCAAAACATTTATTATATACAGTGTAAACACTGGTTTTACCCATTCAATAAAAGATCAGTGAACAAAAATTTGACCATGTTAAGCATTTTCATTGCTAAAGTGAAATTTTCCATTGGATTTTTTTCTAATGAATATAAAGTAACTAAAGTTACTTACTCTTCAGGAGTAAAAAACATGCAGTTGGCATTCCCCATTCAGAATGCTGAAAGTTTTACAACTTCCTTCAAAATAGTTTCTAGTTTACTAGTTCTTAACTCTTTTCTACTTCACATATCCAGTAAATACAGCACACACCCAGTGGCTTATTGTCACAAAAATTCTCAACAATTCACAAGTAGGGGAAAATGCGGGAGCTGTATCAGAATTAGGGAAAGGGGGATAATTTTACAAAGCCACCTAAGAGAACAAAGCTAAATAAATCCCTCTCCCTACAAGTAGTCCATTTAGTTGGCTGGGAAGGAAAGGACAAGAGGCAATGTTTAATTTTTTTCCCCTAGCTTTGGTTTTTCCTAATTTAGGAGCAGAAAGAAGCAAGAAAATTTGACACAAATCACTCAGGCTAGGCAAGGGATTAAGGATTACTAAAACTGAGTAACAAAGCTATAGATAGCCCTCCACATGTGCAGATTCAACCAATGGTAGATTGAGAATACTAACAATAATTAAAAGTAACAATACAACAATAAAAAATAACACAAATTTAAAACTACAGTACAACTATTTACGTGGCATTAGTTATAAGTAATCTAAAGATGACAAAGTATATGGGAGGAAGTGCACAGGCTATACACAAATACTACACCATTTTACATAAGGGATGTGAGCATCCAAGTGTCAGAGGTGTTCGAACCAGAGCAACTCCATCTTGAATATGGTCTAGATAAAATAAGGCTGAGACCTACTGGGCTGCATCCCCAGGAAGTTAAGGCATTCTTAATCACAGGATGAGATAGGAGATCCGCACAAGATGCAGGATACAAAGACCTTGCTGATGAAAACAGCACTCGGTAAAGAAGCTAGCCAAATCCCACCAAAAGAAAGATGGTGATGAAAGTGACCTCTGGTAATCCTCACGGTTCATTATATACTAATTACAATGCATTACCACGCTAGAAGACATTCCCACCAGCCCCATGACAGTTTACCAATGCCATGGCAATTTCAGGAAGTTACCCTATATATTCTAAAAAGGGGAGTAACCCTCAGTTCTGGGACTTGCTGATCCCTTTTCTGGAAAACTCATGAATAATTCACCCCTAGTTTAGCATGTAACCAAGAAGTAACAGTAAGTATAAGCAGCTCAGCAGCCCATGCTGCTGCTCTGCCTATGAAATAGCCATTCTTTTGTTCTCTTAGTTTTTAAACAAATTTGCTTTCACTTTATGGACTTGCCCCAAATTCTTTCTTGTGCGAGATCCAAGAATCCTCTCTTGGGGTGTAGATTGGGACCCCTTTCCAGTAACACATGGATTTTGGTATCTGAGGGGTATGAGACTCAAGGCATGATTCACCTTAAATTCCTACCAGCTGTAAACCTGTGAAATCAAACAAGTCATCTACTTCCAAAATTCAATGGTGGGACAGGCATGAGACAAACATTCCCATTCCAAAAGTGAAACATATCCAAGAAGCAAAGAATAATAGGCCCCAAGTCAGTCCAACATTCAAGAGGAAAAACATTACAGCTTAAGCCTCCAAGATAATATTCCCTGACTCCCGTCAAGCTTCCTAGATAGACTGGGATAGGGGCTGAGCCTCCACTATCTGAGGAAGCTCCACCCCTATGGCTTTGCTGGGTTCAGTCCCACCCTATGGCTCTGTCCACACCTCAGCTCTGCAAAGATGGCACTGCATGCTGGTAGCTCTATAGTCCTGAGGTCTCAATGGCAGTTCTGCTCCCATGGCTCCTCTTGGCATTGCTGAGGTAGAAACTGTGGAAGCTCTAACCCTACAGTTCCCTTGGGCAATGCTCTAGAAAGGCTCTCTGCAGTGGCTCCTCCCCTGGGACAAGTCTCTGCCTGAGCTCCCAGACTGTTTTCAACAACCTCTGGAACCTAGGTGGAGGAATCCATGCCCCCACAGCTCTTGCATTCTGTATGCCTCTGCAGAATTTGCACCACCACCCAAACCCTCCTGAAAACTATTCTGATCTCCTAGTTCCCTGGGCCAGTGATAGGAGGCACAACCTGAAAGATCTCTGGAATGCCTTCAAGGTTTTTTCCCAATTGTCTTGATGATATCTTCTATTAGTATAAATCTGCTCAGCAAAGAGCTGCTAGTCACAACCTTGGGTAACTCTCCTAAAAATCCTCTTTGATTCTTTTCCACACAGCCAGGCTGACACTTTTCCAGATTTTTCTGCTCTTCTTCCCTTCTAATTATTGATTCTGTCTTAAGTAATTCCTTTGCCCTCACATCTCACTCTAAGTGGCCGAAAGCAGACATGCAGCAGCCTGAATGCTTTGATAGTTATTTCTCCCACCAGATATCCTAGTTCATCACTCTTAAATTCAGCCTTCCATAAAGCCCTTAGGCATAGACACAGTTCATCCAAGTTCTTCGCTAATTCATAACAAGGATGGCCTCTACTCCAGTTTCCAACAGGATATTGCTCATTTTCATCTGAGATCTTGTCAAAATGGCCTTTGCTATCTGTATTTCTATCACATTTTGGTCACAACCACTTAAGTAATCTCTAAGAAGGTTCAGACTTTCCTAGTATTCTCGTCTTATAAGCACTCACCAGAATCACCACTAACACTCCATTTATGGAAATACAGGCTTTTTCTAGACTGGTCTTTCAAACTCTACCAGCCTCTACCCATCACCTAGTTCAAAAGCCACTTCCACATTCTTAGGTAATCATTATTAGTAACAGCCCCACTTCTCAGTACCAAATCTCTGTCGTAGTCCATTCTCGGTTGCTGTAACTCAATACCTGAGATTGGGTAATTTACAAAGAAAACAAATTTCTTGCAGTTCTGGACACTGGGAAGTCAAAGGTCAAGGGGTTCAGGTGATGAGGGCCTTCTTGCTGTGTCATACATAACATGGCAGAGGTCATCACTTGGTGAGACAGCAAAAGCCAGCTGAGGTCTCTCTTCTTATAAAGCCACTAGTCCCATCACGGGGGCACCACCTTGATGAACTTATCTAATCCCAATTATTCCCAAAGAACCCACTTCCAAATATCATCAAAAAAGGAATTTAGGATCGTTTCCAACACCTGAAATTAGAGGACACATTCAAACCATAGCAGTAGGTATCAGACAGTTTCTATGTTTTGGTTAAAGAAATAAATAAATTAGAAACCAGGAAGGAGCATGAAGGCTAAAAGTACTGGGTAAGTCATATTTGAGTCAGAGTTAATAGCTGCGATAGACGAACAAAACGAGTGTGGCTAAGAAGAAAATGAGCACCTCAAAGACACTCATTACCACATGGGTTAAGAATTGAAACACAAAAATGAAGCCTTCTAGATATTTTATTGAAATTCTATAAAATAACATGTCCTCTATTTTCCTGAAGACTTCCATTTTATTTTCTCATTTGACTTGAATTATCAGGTCAAAAAAGTTTTCTCACTACTACAACTACCTGTCTTAAGACATTAACAATTTTTGCCAAGGCTGGAGGCTAACAGAAACAGTCTTCTTCTTGCCCCCTCCCCAAAATTGACTCAGTATTTGTATAATCTATCACCAAGGACTTTCCTTCTGGAAACTACCTGAAGTAAACAAGCTATATTTTCAGATACTTCAGAAATCAGTATTTATTAAGAGTGACAAATTTCAAATAGACAGGACGCTGTAGGGAAGGAGTATTCAGTCTGGTTGGCTGAGGGACAGATAACAGAAATCTACAAAGCAGCTGCAAGCATTCTTTCTTCTGTTACAGGCATTTTAAGAGAAGCATGAGGAATGGCCGGAAGTTGAAAAAATATCCCTCTTGGGAGAGTTCACTGGCATTTGTCCCCTCATACTTCCTTCCAGTCACCTCTTACCTTTTCCCAGAGCTCTGCTTAAACTCAATCTCACTATTAGCAGCCACCAACTCCTTTACCCCAATTCAGCCATCACAGTCAAAATACACACACCCGCTTTTCCAAACATGGAGATCTCAAGAAACTAAAGGAAATTCAAGGTAGTATATTCACTCAAAAAGGGTAAGCCCTACTATGGTAAGATTTCTTACCAAGAATTGCACAGTAGAATCAGTGGGTCAAATCCAGCAAGCAGAAGATGTGGCAACCACTCCTTATACTTTGTGTGTGCTTTAACTGCATGATTTACAAATTCACTTATATGGTTCCATGGTGCCAACGGGCAACCTTTCTTCAAAAAGTGACGAAATGCTGAAAACTTCTCGTACTTCAGACAGTATGTCAAATGAATTTCATTTACTTGGGCTCCATATTTCAAAAGAATGTTTACAATTCCAGAGAACTCACAGCTTCACCACAAAAAATAAAAACAAAACAAGAAGTTAGACTTTGACACAAAGTATTTCCTACAAATTGTTAATAGTAGTTTTACAGCTGGGGCATAAGTATGGCAGATGAGATAGTGGAAGGTTTTTACACATCTAGTGGATTGAGATTAGAGAAATGTGGGAGCCAGGGCTTTTGCTTTTTACACCCTCCTGAATGGTTTTTAATTTTCAACTATGAACAGGTGTTACTCTTATAATTTAAAAAATTCTTCTTAAATAAACATGTAATTTAAAAAATTATCATTGACAAATAGAAAACTTAAATTGTGATATTTTGTACAATTAAGTATCTTTACTACAAAATACTTTGCTTAACAAAATCAATAAACAATGTGATCAGTCCTTAAAACTAAACGATTCATTCTAGGAATCTCTTAGATATCATTTTCGTTAGCAATTAACTTAGCCAGTTTCCCTCCCACTTTTAAATTTATTTATTTTTCCAGAGACAGGGTCTTGCTCTGTGGCCCAGGCTGGCATACAGTGGCACAATCGAGGCTCACTATAATTGAACTCCTGGGCTCAAGTGATCCACCTACCTCAGCCTCCTGAGTGGCTGGAACTACATGTACATGCCACGATGCCTGGCTAATTTTTAAATTTTTTTGTAGAAAAGGAGTCTAACTATATTGCCCAGGCTGGTCTCAAACCCTCAAGCAGTCCTCCCACTCTGGTCTCCCAAAAGGTATGCCACCATGACTGGCCTTAAATTTAAAAAGATATAAAAAACAGTTAAAAAAAAAACTTTTTAACGAACAAAAATTCAATTACAGTACTATATTTTAAAATTCATTAAGTTCTATTCTACTATCCCCATTATAGATGCAAAAACTGAAGTTTAGTCACAGAGATAGTAATTGGTAGAAGTGGGATAATGATATCAACCCAAAATCTAACAGTGAATATGACACAGCAAATTTCTGCAATATCTCTTCCCTATTATGAAAACTGACGACTTCATGATATAGACAGATTGAAAAACATTTTAAACCCATGCCTATGTTTTCCAAAGTAGGTTACGTGGAACTTTAGTTCCTGAAAATGATCCATATGAAAAATACTCTTCAGTGAAAAAAATTGAGAAAACTTATACAGTATACCGTAAGACTGAGAAAGAAATAGGATGCATGTATTTTTAAACAGTATGTTAGCTACATTTCCAATTATATGCTCAACGTTTTTATTCAACCTCCAGATATGTTTCAGAAGAAGTACCTTTAAAATTAAAGCAATGGGTCCAATCATTAATCTGAAAAATGCAAAGAGAAGTACAAAATGCCCAAAAGTCTGTAAACACAAGAGCAATGGTATATACACTTAAATATAAGTTCTATCCTATGTTTCTGGACTTTCTAAACCTTTGTAGATCCATTCCTCTTTTGGGAATTCACAAAGCACACTGTCTTAAGAAAAATTCTCAAGTGCCCTCCACAAAAGAAACTTATTTAATACTATTTAATCCTGTATTTCCCAAACTTATTTAACAATACAACCCCTTTTATTCCATATAATACCTATTAATAATCTACAGAATTAGTATTCCACAAAAACACACTTTAGAAAACCAGCTCTAAGTCTCTTCCCTATTATTCACATTGCCTTGTATTAGAAGGGGCAAGAGCAACTTCCAAAAGGCTTATAAAACTGTATAGTGTGGCTGGTCGTAGTGGCTCACACCTGTAATCCCAGCACTTTGGAAGGCCGAGGCGGGCAGGTCACCTGAGGTCAGGAGTTTGAGACCAACACGGGGAAACCCTGTCTCTACTAAAAATACAAAATTAGCTGGGTGTGGTGGTACATGACTGCAATGCCAGCTACTCGGGAGGCTGAGGCAGGAGAACTGCTTGAACCCAGGAGGCAAGGGTTGTGGTGAGGTGAGATCACACCATTGCACTCCAGCCTAGGCAACAAGAGAGAAACTCTGTCTCAAAAAACAAAAAACAACAAAAACAAAACTTATTTTTCCCGTTAGGTTTTAAATTCTTAAAGGATATTTCAGCTTTCTCAGTAAGTTTAACAAGATCTGTTTAGTGTTCTCTATATAACAAATGGTCAATTAATGTTTTTAACTGATTTTGTAGAAATCACAGGAGAAAAGGGTGGGCCCCCTAAAATTTCAAATAATCCTGGAAAATCCAAAAACCTATTTAAGACCTTTCCCACCTAACTTCATTTATCTGAATCTATAGACAGCATGAAACATACTGCCCAGCTCCCAAGGAATATCATTAATTTTAAAGTGTTTCAGGGTTAACAGGGGTACTGCGTTATACGGCTTAATTTGAACTACACTAATAAGGTGATGAGGCATGAGCTTAGATGCTGTGAGCAGAAGGACCAAAAACATTGTTCATCCAAAAGATAAGATGAAGGCCAAAAAAGACGACCATCATACTGAACACACACACACACACACACACACACACACACACACACACACACACGATTCAAACCATTATAGTCTGGTGTAATAAGAAATGTTCAGTTCTATAACGGAGTTAAGACATAGTATATAGAAGGGCAACTAGAAGTTATCAGTGCAACCTCACTGAAGGTCAACTAATTAGGGCTCTTTTGTTTAAAAAGACAAAACTTAATGGGTTGTACAAGAAAATCCTAAGAAATCACAAAAGTTATGTATAAAGTGAGTCCCAGGTACTCAGATTAACCAAAATCCATATATTAGAACTAAAATGTATAAGCTTAAGAGTCTGGGCAGGGTGGCTCACACCCATAATCCAATCACTTTGGGAAGCTAGAGGCAGATGGATCACTTGAGGCCAGGAGCTGGATACCAGCCTGGTGAAACCCTGTCTCTATTAAAATGTATAAGCTTAAACTTCAAACAAATACAGTGAACTACTAATTTTACATGGCAAATGTTAAGAGATGGTAAAGACTGAAAAGCTTAGTAAATAATTTCTTGACAACTATTTAAATTAAATAGAGATCCATAATAGTGAATTCAAGAAAACCAGTAAAATTTGAGGTACGCCTGCAACCTCTTCTGTGTCATTAAAAACAATAGCATTGCCGGGCGCGGTGGCTCAAGCCTGTAATCCCAGCACTTTGGGAGGCCGAGGCGGGTGGATCACGAGGTCGAGACCATCCTGGTCAACATGGTGAAACCCCGTCTCTACTAAAAATACAAAAAATTAGCTGGGCATGGTGGCACATGCCTGTGATCCCAGCTACTCAGGAGGCTGAGGCAGGAGAATTGCCTGAGCCCAGGAGGCGGAGGTTGCGGTGAGCCGAGATCACGCCATTGCACCACTCCAGCCTGGGTAACAAGAGCAAAACTCCGTCTCAAAAAAAAAAAAAAAAAAAAAATAGCATTTATCTTCACAACTTATTCCATTATTGGATGATCAGATATTACTCAATATGGCTTTTCTTATACACAGCTTTATTCTTACTGTTTAAAAAATAATTAATTTGGGGTTTTTTTTAAAAGCTTAATTGTTCAGACTCACATTAAAAAATGCTATACAGCCAGGCATGGTGGCTCACACCTATAATCCCAGCACTTAGGGAGGCCAAGGCATGTGAACTGCTTGAGCCTAGGAGTTCAAGACCAGCGTGGGCAACATGAAAAAAAACCCATCTGTACTAAAAATAGAAAAATTAGCTGGGAGTGGTGGTGTATGCCTGGAGACCCAGCTATTCTGGAGGCTGAGGTGGGAGGATCACCTGAGTCCAGGATACAGAGGTTGCAGTAGGCCAAGATGGTGCCACTGCACTCCAGCCTGGGCCACAGAGTGAGGCCCTGTCTCAAAAAACAATTTTTTAAATGCTATACACCAAATACATTAAAAATGCAATAATATCTATAAAGCTAAAGTTTTATTTTAGGCTCACAAGCAGTCTTATAAATATAAATTTCAAATGGTAAATGATTTGAACAGTCACTGCCTTACTTGATAAAGTCCCATTTTTAATTCTTGAATTGTTTTGAAGACCAAAAATACCAGCAAATTTCTGCATCTACTTAAATTTTAAGTATTCCCTAAAACTGCTGCACTAAAAATGTAATCCAGATCCAAAGAAGGAAGGAAAACAATCTGATATTATCACCTCATTTGTGCTACAGCTTGACTGAAGCATCAGGGTTTTTCCTATTTGTGTTCCAAGCTAGCAATTTAGCACTTACAGAGACACTAAGTTTCACCGTGAAAGAAAGACACTTCAAAACACATCTCCATACAGCAAAAAAGAATAAAAAATAAAAACACAGCAAATATATACATACTCCTTTTGGAAAGCCATGCACATGGGAGAACTAAATCCAAAGATAAGGCACGCCTGGGCATCTGGGCTGTAGCCATTCCGGAGCAGTATTTCTAGGCACTCTTCATGTCCCCCAAACACTGCTGAGTAAACAGGGCTCACTTTGTTTAGCCCAGTGTCACAGACCCGGCTAGTAAGTGGCACTAACAAGTCCAAGATTCTATAAATACACAAATTCAGGAGCATTTAGTTTTAATTTACATGTACACAAGTGCAGATAACATTTCTATAGCACAATTTTTTTTGAATCACCAATTGATTAATTTAAAGAACTATTTCTGTCTGGGGTGGACCTTCTACCAACAACATTACATTAAACTATTACACGCTACACATTTACTATAAAATGTTACACTTATTATTGCTTCATACAAAGGTCCTTAAATACATCTGAAACAAAATTAATTAATGTTCCTACATGTAAATAGAAAAGGTGCTCTTTTAATTTTATTACCTTATTAGCACCACCTTATTCCCCAAAGTTCAAATTTTATGTTAGATATTTTAGCATCTAATAAATTATTTACATCATTATACTAAGTATAAACTGGCATCAAAAAAATACACTATTTTCCTTCTTAAAGAACCAATTAGTTTTACTTTTCCAATTAGTAAAAATTTTTAAAGATTATAAGTAACATGAAATGAAGACTAATATTTTCATAAGAAATTATAATTTCTGCTAAAATATTCCATTATCTGAAAAAAAAAGTGAGATCATTAAATACAAAGGCAGATTTATAAAAAAGCTCGTTCCTAGGTAGAGAAAGTTCTAAAGAAAATAATTAAAACAAAGGTTCTTAGGTTATTTGTAAACTTACCTCTAGCAGTCAACTGGAAAGAAAAAAGGACTACTTCACCCTTTTAAATTAAAAATAAAACTGTACAAACAAAACCAGGTCCTCTTTCTGGGAAAAGACAGACAGGGCTACTCTGAAGTATTTTTACAACAATTATACTTCTCTTCACAAATTTTCTTTATGTATGTCTAAGATAACATTTAAGTAGAACTTTCATTCACAAAAGGGGCTAGAAGTAGGCTATAAAGAAAATCATCAGTGACAATCAGAATTCTCAAAATTGAGAATGCCCAACAGAGTTTTGGTATCACTTAAAGCTCAGAGAATAATACCTAATATTTATGTTTAAATAAATGATCAAAATTTGGGGAAAATATCAAATTTTAAATCTAAGTATTTTGTTAAAATAGTCTATTAAATGTCTCTTAAATTTAATAACTGTGTTTAATTTTTTAAAATAGCCAGGAAAAATTATACTTTCCCACAAGACATAAACACGCTTAAAAATAGCATTAATGAAATAGTATTGTGCCACCTAGTGGCACAATGATCAAATTGCAGAATCCGTTTTCCTTTAATGTAAACAAACTAAATTAAGTAATGAATATTTTACTATTACTTTTTAAATTAAGTAATACTATGAACAGCTATAAAAAGTATTACTGTAGAATTACGACTCTAAAGATTTTAAACATATGTTTCTAAAAATTGTTGACTGCCAATTTATGAAAGGCAGCCATATTCTCACAGGTATAACCAAGTTACTAGATTCTAAGATTTCTAGAACCCCTATTTACTCTCTCTCCATAAAAATTCCCAGCTGGATTTGAGATTAGATTTTTAAAAAGTTCAGTCAAAGGATTTAAGACAGGGAGGACTACTTAGCACACACTCCAACAGGCTTTCTGTTGGAAGCACATAAACCCGAAAGCTTTCTGGGGTCAGAGAGGTAACATGGATAAGGCCATCATCAGAATGAGTCTTAAAGATGACTGGGAAAAAACTAGGGAGGAGGAGGCAGCTACAGCCATAACTAGAGAAATCAATGGGAAGACTCAACTCCCTGAGCAAGTCCCTGAGCCTGCCCCGTCTCTAGCAACTCTGCCTCACAATATGAAAGTGCAGGACTCATAGTAGGAGCAAAAGGTAGCATGAGGAACAGAATAGGGGTATATCTATTCACCCAGCAGATGGGTAAGGAAGAGAATGTCAAAGATTTTGCCTAGAGGTGAAGGGTCTACCCCAGATTTATTCTTTATTAGCTTTTGATTAAGAGACCATGTTTATTTTCTGTTTTTAACACTTACTTTGAATGGCCCATTTGTGAAGCTGCATGAACAGGTAACTGCCAATTATCCTCATTACAGTAAAGATCAGGATCCGCTCCACTGGAGAGCAAAAGCTCCACACATTTGGTGTGTCCCTCTTGAGCAGCAATGAACAAGGGAGTAGCTTTGTCCAAGGCTTGACAATTGACATTTGCACCTAATACAAAATAAAACATTTAACAGATAATCCTCGTTTATATTTTTTAAAATCAACATAAATTTCAAGAAACTACCACAAAAGGGTTTCACAGCACAGTAGTTATTCCTTCTTCACCTGGATGTTGCATGTTGTTATATAAACATAGTTACTTTGCTAACTTTTTGCTAATCATTTAAATTGTCTTTGCTAAACTGACAGCGTGGCTCGTGCCTGGAATCCCAGCAATTTAGGAGGCTATGACCAGAGGATTGCTTGAGGCCAAGACCAGCCTGGGCGAAATAGTAAGACCCTGTGTCTATAAAAAACAAAAAGGTTTTGCTTTTAAGTCAGCAAGAAAATAAGTGATTCATATCTTAGAATTCATTTTTAAGCTAAAACAAAAAATACTATTCAGTGAAGGATACATTTCATTCCAATCCCTCCTCAAGCAAGCATTCTGCAAGCCCAATAAGTAAACATTTAAAAAGAAAAAATGCAAACTAGCAAACATGGATAATGTTTCTGATAATTAGTGAAAAAGATAAAATCTAGTTATGTCACTCTAATAGATTCCGGCTAAGATTTATGAAAAAATTATCAGTAGATACGGCAGCTGTGCCTTAAAACGAATAGTGACTATATTCTTTATTACATCTCTTCCTTCATAACCACTAAATGATAAATGAAGCCTACTATCAGAGAAAAAGAGTCTCTTTAAACAGGTTTCTGAGTTGATATTTAAAATCATAAATGTGAACGGGAAAAACAATAACATCATAGTGAAAGAAAGAAAAACGAAACATCCTACCCATATGAAAATAATTACAAAAATTGTTTAAGTGTGAGTGTCTCCAGATGAAAAGGAACTACCACAAGAATTTTGGATTTGTGAAAAATCTAAATGTAGTGACACTACCAAAGAATCACAGTAATGCTCCAGCGATGGCTCCCGACTCAAATGGAAACTCAGAAATGACAGATTAAGAACTCAAAGCAAGGACTGCAAAGAAGCTCAACAAGATCTAAGACAAGGTTGAAAATAAACACAAAGAAATTTCTAAAGCAATTCAGGAAACGAAGGCAGAGATAATCATCTTAAAAAGGAACCAATCAGAGCTTCTGGAATTGAAAAACTCACTTAAGGAATTTCATTACAGGTATTGATCGACTTACGACCTGTGCAACTTACGACCATTCAACTTTACGACCACAATCACTAGCCATGACTGCTCAGCGTCTGGCAGCACAAACGTTGCCCAGCTGGGCGTACGACAGTGCGGACCAGCTTACGGCAGCACTACCATCTCCGCGTGCACCATTTCAACTGTTATCCCAGACTTGGTACAGCAATTTGTGTTTTATGTCTTGGATATTTTTCATCAAACCCCTCCCAGGATGTCTACCAAGAGGAAACTGTCTTTGTCTACGCCTCAGCCTGCCAAGAAGGAAAGAAAGGCCATCGATCTCGACACGAAAATGAAGGTAATTAAGCAGTACGAAGGAGGAAAGAAAGTGAATGTGATCGCACGTGATACGAAGTTATCACAATCAACTGTGTTGACGATTTTGAAAGACAAAGAATTCGTGAGGCTGTGAAAGGTTCTGCACCCATGCGATCAACAATTATAACAAAGCAACGAAGCGGGCCCATCCACAAAATGGAGAAATTGCTATATATTTGGATGGAAGATCAAATTCAAAAACGGACACCATTAAGTCTTTTTACTGTGCAGATGAAGGCGAGAAGTCTATTTCAGACTCTGAAGGACCATACTGGAGAAAATTACAGTCAAAAATTTGTAGCAAGCACTGGCTGGTTCCAGAGATTCATCATGTCACAGTACTATACATATAGCCTACTTAACTTACCACCAAATCGTGTTACGACCGGTCTGTCAGAACCAATCGTGGTTTTAAGTTGAGCACCAGCTGTATACAACTGTAAGTTTTATTAATAGACTAGTCCAAATAGAAGAAAGAATTTTGGGGCCTGAAGATTAGTCTTTCAAACTAACCCAATCAGATGAAAATAGAGAAAAAAATTTTTTAGTGAAAAAGGCTTTGAGAAATATTAATATAAAGCAACCAAATCTATGAAATACTGGAATTCCTGAGAGAGAAGGAGGAAAAGTAAATGACATGGAAAACATATTTGAGGAAATAATTTAAGAGAATTTCCCTAATCTTGCCAGTGAGGTAGACATTCAGACAGAAGAAATCCAGAGAACTCCCCATGAACACGAATATCACTAAGGTATATAGTCATCAGACTGTTCAAGGTTAATGCTAAAGAAAATTCCTTAAAGGCAATGAGAGAAAAAGGTCAGATCATAAACAAAAGGAAGAGTGGACTTAGCAGAAACCTTACAAGTCAAGAGAGATTGTGAGTCTATTTTCAGCATTCTTAAAGACACGACAACCAGGAATTTCATATTCCACCAAACTAAGCTTCACAAATAAAAGAGAAATAAAATCTCTACAGACAAACAAGCACTAAGACAATCTGTTATCAGTAGATCAGCCTTAGCAGCGATCCCAAAGAAACTTCTAAACATGGAAATGAAAGAATATTGCTACTACAAAAACACACTTAAGTGCATAGCTCAAAGACACCATAAGGCAACCATACAATAGAAACTACAAAGCAACCCTCTACCAACTTAATAGGATCAAAATCTCACATATCAATATTAACCTGGAATGTAAAGGGTCTAAACACCCTGCTTAATATTCTGGTTTCTCTTCAGACCATGTAAACCTTTCACCTTTTACTAAACACCTCCCTTAGAAGGCACAGAGTTGCAATTCGGATTTAAAAAAAAAAGACCCATCTATCTGCTGCCTTCAAGAGACCCATCTCACATGTAATGACACCCACAGGCTGAAAGTAAGGGTTGGAAAAAGATCCATTAAGCAAATGGAAAACAAAAAAGGTCAGGAGTCACCATTGTTATTTCAGATAAAACAGACTTTAAACCAAACAACAGGGCCAGGCACAGTGGCTCACTCCTGTAATCCCAGAACTTTGAGAGGCCAAGGGGTGACAGAGCAGGAGTATCACCATCTTGCACAAGTACTAGCATTTTAAAATTCACTTTAATCAAAAACCACCTAAATCCAAAGGGCATCAGCCTAATGGCCAAGGTCAGCATGACCAAAAACCACAAATAACATCTCCAAACAGAAACATTCCAAACTCCTCCCTGACCAGGGACATGCTAGCTGTCCCACTCCAGCTGGGAAGATACCAGCCCCGAGACAACTCCTCCTTGCCCCACTCCAGCTGGGAAGATGCTAGCCCCAAGATAACACCCCTCATCCTGGAAAGATGTCAGCTCCTTCACCCAGAGCCTCCCACATAAACATTCCAAGCTTGTGATAAGCCCTCTCACCCTAAAACCAACATATACTCTTAGTCTGTAAGAGAAAGCACTCCTGACCAAAATCGGCCAGAAGCCCTTCTCAGGTTTTACCTAAAGTAAACCTGTCTTTAACTGCCAAGCTGTGCTTTATGTTCCTTTCCTCTTTCTTTAACTCTTAGAAGGTGGGAGGATTGCTTGAGCTCAGGAGTTCAAGACCAGTCAGGGCACTGTGAAAGGAAAATAAATCTTGGGACCCCCAAATCACTAAACCAAAGGGAATTCAATCTGGGAACTGCTTAGGGCAACCCTGCCTCCTATTCTATTCCTAAAAGAGATAGCTACTAAGATAAAAAAGTTACATACCTCCCTCACAAGGAATTTCCTTGTGAACAAAGGACAGACAGACAGAACTCAAAGTCATCTCTCTGCTACTGAAATAAGTACATATCTGATTGCCTCCTTTGGAAAGGCTAATCACAAACTCAAAAAAAAAAAAAAAAATGCAAACATTTGTTTCCTACCTACCAATGACCTGGACACACTCTTCCCACTTTGAGTTGTCCTGTTTTTCCATACAGAACCAATGTATATCTTACATATACTTATTTGATGTATCATGTCTTCCTAAAATGTATAAAACCAAGCTGTGCACCAACCACCCTGGGCATATGTTGTCAGGACCTCCTGAGGCAGCATCACAGGTGTGTGTCCTTAATGCTGGCAAAATAAACTTCTTAAATTGACTGAGACCTGTCTCAGATATTTGGGGTTCACAGCAACACATGAGACCCCATCTCTACTTTTTTAAAAAAGAAAAAAATTATATATTAAAAAATCCAACAACAGTACAAAAGGACAAAGAAGGTAATTACATAATGATAAAGGGTTCAATTCAACAAGACGACTTAACTATCCTAAATATATACACACCCAACAGTTTTGTAAAATAGCTCTTAGAGATCTATAAAAAGATAGTAATAACAGTGGGGGGATTTCAACATCCCATTGACAGCATTAGACAGATCACTGAGGCAGAAAATTAAAAAACAAATTCTGGATATAAATTCAACATTTGACCAATTGGACCTAATAGACATCTACAGAACATTCCACTCAGCAACCACAGAATACATATTCTTCTCAACAGCACACAGAACGTACTCCAAGAATGACCACGTGCTTGGCCAAAAAACACATCTCAATAAATTTAAAAAACTGATTCATTTGGGAGGCCAAGGCAGGTGGATTACTTGAAGGTCAGGAGTTCAAGACCACACTGGCCAGCATGGTAAAATCCTATCTCTACTACAATTACAAAAAAATTAGCCAGCCACAGTGGCACATGCCTATAATCCCAGCTACTCAGGAGGCTGAGGCAGGAGAATCACTTGAACCAGGAGACAGAGGTTGCAGTGAGCCAAGATCATGCCACTGCACTCCAGCCTGGGTACAGAGTGAGACTCTGTGTCAAAACAAAACAAAACAAAACAAAAAATGAATCCTATCAACCATACTCTCAGACCACAGTGGAATAAAAATAGACATCAATACCAAGAATATCTTCCAAAACCAGACAATTACATAGAAATTAACTTACTCCTGGATAACTTTCAAGTAAACAATAAAATTAGGACAGATAAAAAAATTTCTTTGAAA